CACTGGCATTTTTCACAGAACTAGAACAAAAAATTTTGCAATTTGTATGGAAACACAAAAGACCCCGAATAGCCAAAGCAATCTTGAGAACGAAAGAAGGAACTGGAGGAATCAGGCTCCCTGACTTCAGACTATACTACAAAGCTACAGTTATCAAGACGGTATGGTACTGGCACAAAAACAGAAAGATAGATCAATGGAACAGGATAGAAAGCCCAGAGATAAACCCACGCACATATGGTCACCTTATCTTTGACAAAGGAGGCAGAAATGTACAGTGGAGAAAGGACAGCCTATTCAATAAGTGGTGCTGGGAAAACTGGACAGCTACATGTAAAAGTATGAGATAATTCACTCCCTAACACCATACACAAAAATAAGCTCAAAATGGATTAAAGACCTAAATGTAAGGCCAGAAACTATCAAACTCTTAGAGGAAAACATAGGCAGAACACTCTATGACATAAATCACCGCAAGGTCCTTTTTGACCCACCTCCTAGAGAAATGGAAATAAAAACAAAAGTAAACAAATGGGACCTAATGAAACTTAAAAGCTTTTGCGCAGCAAAGGAAACCATAAAGAAGACCAAAAGACAACCCTCAGAATGGGAGAAAATATTTGCAAATGAAGCAACTGACAAAGGATTAATCTCCAAAATTTATAAGCAGCTCATGCAGCTTAATAACAGAAAAACAAACAACCCAATCCAAAAATGGGCAGAAGACCTAAATAGACATTTCTCCAAAGAAGATATACAGAGTGCCAACAAACACATGAAAGAATGCTCAACATCACTAATCATTAGAGAAATGCAAATCAAAACTACAATGAGATATCATCTCACACCAGTCAGAATGGCCATCATCAAAAAATCTAGAAACAATAAATGCTGGAGAGGGTGTGGAGAAAAGGGACCCCTCTTACACTGTTGGTGGGAATGTAAATTGATACAGCCACTGTGGAGAACAGTATGGAGGTTCCTTAAAAAGCTACAAATAGAACTACCATATGACCCAGCAATCCCACTCCTGGGCATATACCCTGAGAAAACCATAATTCAAAAAGAGTATGTACCAAAATGTTCATTGCAGCTCTATTTACAATAGCCCAGAGATGGAAACAACCTAAGTGTCCATCATCGGATGAATGGATAAAGAAGATGTGGCACATATATACAATGGAATATTACTCAGCCATAAAAAGAGACGAAATTGAGCTATTTGTAATGAGGTGGATAGACCTAGAGTCTGTCATACAGAGTGAAGTAAGTCAGAAAGAGAGAGACAAATACCGTATGCTAACACATATATATGGAATTAAAAAAAAAAAATGTCATGAAAAACCTAGGGGTGAAACAGGAATAAAGACACAGACTTACTAGAGAATGGACTTGAGACTATGGGGAGGGGGAAGGGTAAACGGTGACAAAGCGATAAAGAGGCATGGACATATATACACTACCAAACGTAAGGTAGAGAGCTAGTGGGAAGCAGCCGCGTGGCACAGGGAGATCAGCTCGGTGCTTTGTGACCGCCTGGAGGGGTGGGATAGGGAGGGTGGGAGGGAGGGAGACGCAAGCGGGAAGAGATATGGGAATATATGTATATATATAACTGATTCATTTTGTTGTGAAGCTGAAACTAACATACCATTGTAAAGCAATTATACTCCAATAAAGATGTTAAAAAAAAAAAAAAAAAAGACAAAGGGAGGAGGAGTGAGGCTAATGATAGGGGGGCATATGCGTAAGTCCACCAGGGAAGGGGCAGGGCTTTTTCCAAAGGAGTGGCATACCACCCGTTTTGATCCTTTTTGTTCTACAATGTCCAGCCATGTGGCTGGTAGGGTGTATCATTTAAGATGCTAAGGTAGTTAAATCAGCATATAATGAGACTCAGGGTCTGTTGTAGGTCAGATTCATCACCATCTTGGTCCCAGCTGGTTCCACCTGTTTTTTTTTGTTTATAGATTCCTTTCTTATCTCTGGACCCTTTAACTTAAAGATTTAGGTAAACTCGTGCTAAAGGTGGGGGGTTGAAGGGTTGTGAGCAGAGACCAGGATCAGCTCTGGCAACAACAGGAATTCCAAAGGGTGGCTTTCCTATAATCCCGTCCCGCTCTCACACAAATTCCCAGTTGCCATGCATGGTACCATGTAAATACTTTTTTAAGGCAGAACTATATCATGCCCTAAAACATATACTCATGTATATAATTTCTATATAACTATAGAAGGTGGACTTGGAAGCAAACACACCAAATCCATGAGAACGTTGGCCTTTGGGGAGGAGAAGAAAGTAATGGTGCTGTGGGTGAAAGTCAGATAGGGCTTTATCTTCTACTGGGATTTTTTTTATTGAGCCAATATTTAACGATGGTCAATTCTGGGTGGTGGGAATATGGGTATTTTTCTCTGTACTTTTCCATATTTTTAAAATTTCTCAAAATAAACTAGATATAGATTTTTAGTCTTAAACAATTGGAACATGTGCCCTGGAATGATCCTTAGGCACTTAAAAAGTGCCTTCCTTTGGCTGTTTGCTCTAATTAAGGGTGTATCTACAAACCCCAGTCTCCAGATGACTCAGACCAAAACCTATTTTCTCCTGAAACTGTCAAACTTTTCTGGTTTGAAGTTCTGCAAAATCACCTTGGTTCGCTGCTTCTCCACTTTCTGTGTTTTGTGTATAGCCAGAGCCTCCATGGGCTGAAGGAGAGAGACCCAAGCAGCAGCAGCAGCCTGGCTGGCAACAGGAGGCTCTGGTTCCTGGCACTGGTGCTGACATACAATCCTCTGAGGCCAGAGTCCTGGACCCCGGGCTCGTTTGAAAAGCACTGGTGCCTCTTCCTTTTACACACAGACAACAGTCATGCTGGACCAACACTGGAAGGGTGCATGGAAATTTTAAACCTGTAGGTATCAGACTATGCAACTTTTCCCTTTTTTTGTTTGTTTGTTTTTTTGTGGTACACGGGCCTCTCACTGTTGTGGCCTCTCCCGTTGCGGAGCACAGGCTCCGGAGGCGCAGGCTCAGCGGCCATGGCTCACGGGCCCAGCTGCTCCGTGGCATGTGGGATCTTCCCGGACCGGGGCACGAACCCGTGTCCCAAACCCGTGTCCCCTGCATTGGCAGGCGGACTCTTAACCACTGCGCCACCAGGGAAGCCCTTTCCCTTTTATTTTGATGTCCATTCATGCTGTTTAAGTAGTAAGTTCAGAAAATCAGTCAATCCATTAACAATTTCCTTTTCCAATGGAGGCCCGACGAAAACATGGACTATTGTGAATGAAAGCACTTTTAGCTGCTGTCTTAACATAAATCACTGACGTCCATGGGCAGGTTGGTGAGAGGCAGCTTAAGAGGTTAGAGCAACATTTAGGTACTTCTTGGGTAACAAGAAGACACTCTGAGAGTGGAAATAAAGTCAAAAGCAGGATCAGCCAGATGAGTACGTTTCACACTCAGTTCAATACCTTTCACAGTATTTTGTTCAGACTTTATTTCTTTCCATGACAATCCTGTTTGATAACAAGCAACTACTCCTATCTCCAGTGTCCTGGACCCAGGGAATGAGTAGGTAGAAAATGCAGCCCAAACTGGTGTGTTCCTTAATTCCAGGTATCCCAGAACCTATACCCAAGGAAGAAACAGTGGCACAGAAGAAGCCAGTGGAGAAATCTGACTGCCTTGCCTATTCTGGGGACAGACTTGGGTACACTTCACGAGTGGGCTGACCCCCACTACATTCTGGGGCCCCTGGGAAGAGGGGCTCCCCAGGCCTCTAAGACAGGACCTATATTTCTGTTCATGCACAATTAATACTTTTCTAATAACAGGCCTTGTTAATATGAACTTTTCAAATCCCACAGGCCTGGCTCCACAACTTCTGAAGGGCTTTGGGTCTCTCTGCAAAATGGGTGTAAGTATAATCACTGGACTGTTGTGAGAACGACAGGCAATGATACACAAGGCACAAAGCAAGCATTCGATAAATTACACATCATTGGTCTTGTAAAAGATATTCTGATTCCCAAAGTTTTACAAGAAAATATGATTCTTCATTAAACAATACTTTTGAGCTGCTGCCCAACCAGGGTTTCCTGGTCCTAGCCCAACAACTCACAGCTGTTTCTCAGAAGAACTAAGGATTGGGAGAAAGGAATTAGGGAGGTATCTTCAGCTAGCCTTGTCTCATCTCTGGAAATCACCACTCTGAGGCCTTTTACCTTTGCCCCCTAATTTATTCTTTTAACAATAATTTATTGAAAACTCTCTTTTCAGGACACTAGTGCAGAAAAAAACACAAATATGAAAAGTCTTTGTCTTCAGGGAGCTTTCAATACAGGGTGGCAAACAAGAAATCAGTGCTCTCTGAGATCCAGTCTACTACTCTGCAGACAGGTTGACCTAATCAATAGATTGTTCTTTATTGTTTCCCAACTCCCCTTCTCTCACATACTTGCTCAGCACCCTCACTACCAATCCCAGAGGTGAAACAATCCTTTTTAACGTTAACATCAAGCTGCAGGAAGAAATTACACAATGGGGCCTAGATGTCCCTGTTCCTCCAAATCTTCAGAGCCCCAGGACCCCCGCAGAATCCCTTCACATGTCTCTATTTTGTTGCTGGGGCCCACTCTCCACAGGGACCACTCACTGCTCTTCTCAGATGGCCCACTCACCCACGGTCCTCCCTCCCTGCAGTGATGCTGTCTCTTCCTTAATGTGAAAAAAATCGAGGCCACCTAAAACATTACTCAGGCCTGCTCTTCATTCATTCATTTAACAAATATTTATCAGAGCCTAATACAAGCCTGCACTGTGCAGACGTGGGAGATGCTAGAGTGAGGACCCATCAGCCGCCGTCCCGCCTTCTCGGACCTCGGTGTACAATTACACTGCACATTCAGCAAAGATTACAAAGAATACTTGCACCTGAATGGAGCTGAGAAGGAGAATTTCAGGTGTTGCAAGCCTTAGGGGCCAGCGTAGTTTTCCTTAAGAAATGATATTTGAAGAAAAATCTCAACAGCAAAATGGAGGTTAACTAAGGGAAGAGGCAGGGAGGAGCGTCCAGGCAGAGGGAAGAGCACGTGCAGAGGCCCTGGGTGAGAAGGACTTTGCAACATTTGAGGATCTAAATGAAGCCAGAGGAGGCAGGGGCAACATCAAACACAGGGCCTTGCGCCAACCCTAAGGAGTTTTGATGTTTAAAGAAATAGCCAGCAGCCTTACAGGGTTTCAAGGAGCGAATGCCACGATCGGATTTACCTGCCCCGCGGCTACAGAGCAGGTAGGGGGGTTTGGCCCACCTGGTTTTCCCCGGCGTCCGACCAACGCCGGCTATCCGCTGGTTCTTACCGAGGAGCCTAGGGAGGGGGTGAGAACGCAAAGCCGGCGGCGGGAGCAGCGGGCGGGGTTGGGTCGCCGCGGGCGGGGTTGGGTCGCCGCGCGGGGAGGAGGAAGGCGGCCTGCGCGGGGCACCCCTGGGGACCTGAAGCGCGACAGAGAGTCGGCGCGCTCGGGACTTGCGCCTGCCGAGCTCTCGCTTCCGCGGAGGCTGCGTCTGGTTCTCGGCGACGGGACGAGGCCACGCTGCCTAAGTGGCCGAGTCGGCGGAACCCACCGGTCTCTGGGCCCAGAGCCCCGCCGCGGCCCACAGCGCTCAGGTGAGCTCCACACTTCAGGTGGGGAGGCCCGGCCGCCCCGGAAGCCCCTGCCCGCAGCCCCAGGCGACCCCGCCGCGGCGCTGGCGGCCGCCATCTCCGGGCGGCGGCGGCGGTGGCGGCGGGCGCGCCGAGCGGTGGGCGGTGTCTCCGTGGCCTGGCGACCCTGCGGTGAGGCCCGGGCCCGCACGGGGTCGGGGAGGGGGCTCCTGGTGTCTCCCGGCGGCCGGGCCGCGGGCGGGGCAGGGACCGGGGTGGGCGGCGGGGCCCCCCTACCCGGCCAGACCCCGCGACCCGCGGCTCCGGCCTCTCCCCGAGTATAAATTCATACTTGTCGCCGTCGGAAAAGTGGAGCAGAAAAGCACAAGCAAGGAAGCGCAGGAGCCGATCCCCCTCTCCCGGGAGACACTCGGGTTAACATTAAGGTGTATTTCCTTCCAGTCCCCTCTTCCCTGCAAGCATGAGCGAGCTGCAGTTTCGCTGAACATGGATCGTAAAGTGCCGCAGCTCGGCTTCTGTGTCTTACTAATACATCCCACGCGTCTGCGCGCGGCTTTCGATGTTTTTCTCCATCCTTTTCATTGGCCGCGCTAGTCTGTGTTGGGGCCAGGTTGACCGCGCCTGGCCGGGGCTTGACGCTCGCTGAGTGACAGGACTGTGATTTACATAATGGATTATCTCTCTGATGGTGAGCATACAGGTGGTTTTCAGTTCTTAGCTATTACAAAAAGCAATTTGTTGAGCACTGTTCCGTCTGGTTTTTTGAGCACGATTATTTGTGTAGAGAGAATCCCTCGTAAGGCTTGTGGTATACGTTGCAAAAATGCACCTCGGAAAAGTTATTTCCGTTTTTGTGCCTCGCATTTGGGAACACCTGGCTTAGGGAGCTTTCTGACAGACTTTGCTGGAGATCCCAGTGCTTCACAAGGGACCCGCCGGACGGTGTCAACACCTCTTTAAGTTTGACCTGCCTTGTAGCTGGCCTTACCTAGAGCTTTGCTGAAAAGGAACTGTGAGTACCTTAGTAATTTTTAAAACTGACTTAGGTTTAGCTTGGATAAACCATTACAGTCTCCAATACGACTAAACCTAAGTTAAAGCAAAATTCAAGCTGGGGTTAGTTAGATGAACAGTGGAAACTGTTTATATTTGTCATACTTTCTGATACATGGATGCTGGGTTGCTAGGGGAGGGATTTTAAAGGATTATGCTGATGGGTATGTCACCAGATACTCAGAAAGCTTCCTTTGAAGACATGTAAAGTTTCAAGTGAGTGAGTGACATTGTCCTTATCAGTGAAAATAAATGGAATTTGTTTCTCCATCCTTTTTATTTACATCCTTAAAACTTTGTGTTGAAACACAGGGGATTTTTCTTTGTAATAATCATTTTCCAGTTTGGTCACATGGTCGTGATAATTAAATGTATGTATGGTGGATAAATTTAGAATATGACATGTGTTTATTAAGTCCAATTTGTAGCTTAGAGATCTGTGTGAGACAGATACATGGACAGCTGTGATCATCTCTTGGTTATAGGTGTAATCATATTCCAAGAAACACTACTGGCAGGGCACCTGGGGTTTTTTTTTTTTATATAGTAATCTTTTATTTATTTATTTATTTTTATATTTATTTTTGGCTGTGTTGGGCCTTCATTTCTGTGCGAGGGCTTTCTCTAGTTGCGGCAAGCGGGGGCCACTCTTCATCGCGGTGCGCGGGCCTCTTCACTATTGCAGCCTCTCTTGTTGCGAAGCACAGGCTCCAGACGCGCAGGCTCAGTAGTTGTGGCTCACGTCCCTAGTTGCTCCACAGCATGTGGGATCTTCCCAGACCAGGGCTCGAACCCCTGTCCCCTGCATTAGCAGTCAGATTCTCAACCACTGCACCACCTGGGAAGCCCTGGGTGTTTTTTTTTAAAACAGTTTTGTTGAGATATAATTAATATAGCATACAATTCCCCCATTTAAAGGGTATAATTCAACGGGTTTTTTGTGTATTACAGTATTAATTTTTTAAGTTGTGGTAAAATATATATGACATAAAATTTGCCATTTTAAAATGTACAGTTCAGTGGCATAAAGTACATCCATGATGTTGTGCAACCGTCACCACTATTTCCAAAACTTCTTCAACACCTTAAACTGATACTCTATAAATAAATGTTGAATGTATAAGTGAATGTTGATAGTTGAGGGAAAAAGTTTTTTTCTGTGATCTTGATTTCTAACCTTTCTAATTTGCTGTGTTGTCTTTTATACTTTATATGAAATATAATTATAATTAATATGGTACGATGCCTTATGTTAGTGTGATAATATTTGAAGTTCCTTATAATGGAAAATTGGGCAGTTCTTTCAAGTTTGCTGAATTACTGAACTTTCTAGAGTCTCTAAAAGTTGTAGAGCAAATTTTGAACGATATCCCAAAATCTACTCTGATTTACAAAGGATGCTTATTTAAGTTTATATTATGCTGTTGGCTTACTCTATTGCTATGTATTCTCTTTGCTTTGATAGTTGCAGGATACCCTCCGCTTTCATAGGAGATATCCTAAGAATTTTTTTAAAAGATTTTTTTTGATGTGGACCATTTTTGAAGTCTTTACTGAATTTGTTACAGTATTGCTTCTGTTTCATGTTTTGGTTTTTTGGCCATGAGGCATGCGGGATCTTAGCTCCCCGATCAAGGATGGATCCCGCACCCCCTGCATTGGAAGGCAAAGCCTTAACCACTGGACCACCAGGGAAGTTCCCCTAAGAAATATTTTTAAGACTAGAAAAATCCACAAATATATAAGGTGCTAAAAAAACGAGGGATTTATTTTGGGTACAGTGTGTTTTGAATCTTTAGCTTTCATTCCAAAATGCTTAGCTTTTCTTTGCCTGCTGGATCGCTTTTATGGATGCTAAGGTCTTTAATATCTTTAAAATTTTTTAATTAATTAATTAATTTATGGCTACGTTGGGTCTTCGTTGCTGCGCGCGGGCTTTCTCTAGTTGCGGGGAGCGGGGGCTACTCTTCGTTGCGGTGCGCAGGCTTCTCATTGCGGTGGTTTCTCTTGTTGCGGAGCACGGGCTCTAGGCGCACGGGCTTCAGTAGTTGCAGCACTTGGGCTCAGTAGTTGTGGCTCACGGGCTCTAGAGCGCAGGCTCAGTAGTTGTGGCATATGGGCTTAGTTGCTCCGCGGCATGCGGGATCTTCCCGGACCAGGGCTCGAACCCGTGTCCCCTGCATTGGCAGGCGGATTCTTAACCACTGCGCCACTAGGGAAGCCCTTAATATCTTTTAAAAAACAATTTGTGGCTTCTGGCTGTTTCCAGACCAAAACGATTGTCAATCTCCCGTTTTTTACAAGGAGTGAGCACCCTTGGACATCTATACAGAAAAGGCTAGACTGGAGTAGATCTTGGGAGCAAAAAATAGTTGAAATTATTTTTCAGTAGGTTTGGCAGGGGTACAACTGTTAATCCCAAATATTCAAATGTGGGGGGTTTCCTATGTGTGTGAGTATTATGTGTGCTTCTGATTTTAGCATTAAAGCCCAGATACTGTTTAGTTAATTACACAGGAGTTTTGGACTTTAGTTTTGGCTTGGGCTCTTCTAGTGACCTGAGCAAACTACGTAACTTTTATGGATTCATTATTGGCACTAGTAAATTAAGTGGGCTTGAGTAAGTGCGCAAATTACGTTTGCTCTTAGAAAGCAAACTGGCATATCCCTGGATGCTTCTTGCAAGCTTAACACATATACCATACATTTCACCCATTTAAAGGGTATAATTCAATGGGCTTTTTATATATTACAGTATTAATTTTTTAAGTTGTGATAAAATATATATGACATAAAATTTCCCATTTTAAAATATACAGTTCAGGGGGCTTCCCTGGCTTCCCTAGTTCAGTGGCATAAAGTAGAGTTTATTCTCTGATTTTAGGAAATTATAAATCCATAACAGGTAAAAATATGATTGGCTAATTTGCGTGATTTAACTTCTTTCCCTGAAAATTAGATATTGCAATTCTATTGTATGTAAACGCTGTTTCATCAGAAACTGCGTGCAATTTAAGAAATGGATTGCAGGGTTAGAAAAACTCTTTGCAGATGTCATCTTTGTTGCTCTCAGTCTTTCTTTGCTGCAATTCTCCTTTTCTCTTTCCTGGCTGCTAATTGGATTAAAGACTGTTTTGCCAACCATGGCATCTGGAGATGACAGTCCTATCTTTGAAGATGACGAAAGGTAAATGTCTTGCATTGCAATAAAACTAGCTTATGAAAATTTCAAGAAAGTTTTAATCATTCAGGAGAGGTATTTATCCAGGCTACTTTTTAAAGGACACATTTTGTGATATTGCAGAACACATAGTTTTGCTTTTCTGTGATTTCGAGCAAGGGTGGTAAACACCTGGCATGGAGGTAGCCAGCACTAATGTGGCATCCTTTCCCATAGGACCTGGAGGTAAGGTCTCCAAATCCATCTCAGCACAAAATTCTTGGCAGTCACTTCAAAATGATATAAAATCCATTTACTGTCTTTGATTTAGACCCTACAGAGGAGATTAGAGTGAATGAAGAGTAGGATGTAGTCAAGAGACAGACTCTGGAGCCAGAGTCCTAAGTTTACATCCCATCTGCCACTTACTGTCATTGTGACCTTAAACAAGCCCTTGGCCTCTCTGAGCCTCAGTTTCCTCATCTATAAATAGAGATAATGATAGTACCCACCTCATGGTGAGGATTCTTTGAGTTAATATATATAAAGCTCTTAGCACAGTGATTGACACACAGTAAGTACTAAATAACTGTTAGCTATGATCATTATTGCTGTAATAAATGTGACTTCTCTCAAAGCTAAAGATCTATATCAGTATCAAAATAGTACTTACATGTTACATATTCATTATACATAACAGGTTATTCACATAGGACACACATATAATATATATTTTATATTAAATTGTGCCAGAAACTTGACAAAACAGAATCCTTTATATTTTTAATAAGATTTCCTATAATAATGACAAGATTACTATCTTCCATAACATTTTTATATCTATTATAGAACAATTCTTCCATGACTTCTTTTTTCCTCAGTCTTAGTATTATAAATTAGAACCTTTTTTGTTAAAATTAATCCCTAGTTATTGGTTTAAGTATAAAATGTTTTGAGAATTCTTGCTTTAGAGTGATTGGATCTGAAAAAGTAAAACCAAAATTAAATACTGTGCTTTTTAAGTGACGGGAGGGAGAAGTAGAAACTTTTTACTGACCTTTCCAAGCATTATTCTGTGGCCTAGCTTAGAATACTTCCGTGGATAAACTGACTGATTCTTAATCCTATTATATTAAGGTGACTTTGGAATTATCTGACTATATACCCATATATAGTAATTTCATCTTAAAAGAAGAATGCATAAGAGGGAGAAGATAGTTACATGTACTGTAAGTAGGCTTTCTTAGCTAATATCACTTTAATATTTTATAATTTCAGGGCTTTTTGAAATCTGATACTTTCACCTTGGAAGGATTAATTGGTTATTCTGTTACTGTTTTGGCCTATTATAATTGCTTAATTTTATTCCCTTAGCCCTCCTTACAGCCTGGAAAAAATGACAGATCTCGTAGCTGTTTGGGATGTTGCTTTAAGTGATGGAGTTCATAAGATTGAATTCGAACATGGGACCACATCAGGCAAACGAGTGGTATATGTAGATGGGAAGGTAGGAAAAACTGTTACTTCGGAAATATGGTGTACAGGGAAGCTTGATTTTGCTAATGTAGATTCTTCATATGTGAATGCAAGGCTTTTCTCTTACAGTGGTTATCTTTATATATTGGCCTGTATCATTTTGCCATACAAAGTAAACTAATAATAGTTGTGCAATTCATAGACTATAACATCTAATATTTAAACTTAAAATGACTTTATTTTCTAAAACCTTTGTATCATGAAAATATTAAATTTTCTTCCATTTATGTGTTTTCAACTTTTATATTTTATTACTTAGGAAGAGATAAGAAAAGAATGGATGTTCAAATTAGTGGGCAAAGAAACATTCTGTGTTGGAGCTTCAAAGATGAAAGCAACCATAAATATAGATGCTGTCAGTGGTTTTGCTTATGAATATACTCTGGAAATTAATGGGAAAAGTCTCAAGAAGTATATGGAGAACAGATCAAAAACCACCAATACTTGGTTATTACATTGGGATGGTGAGGACTTTAGAGTTGTGCTGGGTAAGTGAGAGCCGTTTCTGCAGAATTTGTTGGCTTTTTATGGTGGCCATTTAATTAGTTCCTCTAACTGTCCAGACCTTTTATGGCAGCTTTGAATAGGAGAGAATGTTAAGTGCAGTTATATTTCTCACGTGTCCTGTGGAAATGAAGTATTCATTGAATTGACTGATTTATATGGAAAATATGAGAGCCAGATTTTATAGTGACGGATTCGAGGATTATAAACTTGGGTTTAAAAAAAGAAATACTGATGTAGACATTTGTTATTATTTGATATTTCTCTTTAAAACCATGTCTAAAGGCAGTTGGAAATTAAAGATTCATCACTAAAAAGGGAATTTTTCTCTGGATAGCAATAGGTTTAGGACTGCAGCAGATCAAAATCATCAGTCCAGATAAAGTAGATTTAAAAATAAAAAGTAAGCCATTGCTCTTTGAGCTAAGTTCTGCTATTACAGATTGCCATCTGTGTTCTCAGTTTCTATTGGGCCTACAAAACTTGCAAGACAAATATTTACTACCTTTTCACTCTTCTGGTTACTCTTAGTATTTCCTGCTTCTCATATCACTAAGTTAAGACTATGTAGATCATCTCATTAATTCATTGATTCATTTATTAGGTAATATTGAGAACCTCTTAAAGGGCAGTTTGTGTACCAGGCCTTGAGGCTCCATAAATGAAGAGACTTTGTCTGTGTCTTTTAAGAGTATATAGTCTAGGGCTTCCCTGGTGGCGCAGTGGTTAAGAGTCCGCCTGCCAAGGCAGGGGACACGGGTTTGAGCCCTGGTCTGGGAAGATCCCACATGCCACGGAGCAACTAAGCCCGTGCGCCACAACTACTGAGCCTGTGCTCTAGAGCCCGCGAGCCATAACTACTGAGCCCACGTGCCACAACTACTGAAGCCCTTGCACTTAGAGCCCATGCTTCTCAACAAGAGAAGCCACTACAACGAGAAACCCACACACCGCAACAAAGAGTAGCCCCTGCTCGCTGCAGCTAGAGAAAGCCTGCATGCAGCAACGAAGACCCAACACGGCCAAAAATAAATAAATTTATTAAAAAACATAGTATATAGTCTAGTTGAATGCTAGAAAATACCTTAAAATTTTTTTTTAAGAATGAAAAATGTTTATCAGGTAATAAATGCACATAGTTGGAAAAAAAGGAAACCAAAAAACTCCTGTATGGTTTATTTATTAAAGAAATTGTGTCAATTTTTCTTGAAGAGGATAGGAAACCACCAAATTGTCTTCCAAAATGGCTGTACCATTTTGTGTTCCTCCCAGCAATGAGTGAGAGTTCCTGTTACTACACATCTTTGCCAGCAGTGTTGCCAGTGTTTTGGATTTTGGTCATTCTAATAAGTGTGTAATGATATCTCACTTTTAATTTGCAAGTCCCTAATAATATGTGGTGTTGAGCATCTTTTCATATGCTTATTTGCCATCTGTGTATCTTCTTTGGGGAGCTGTTTCTATAGAGCTTTTGCCCATTTTTCAATTGGGTGGTTTGTTTTCCTACTGTTGAGTTTTAAGAGTTCGTAGTATATTTTAGATAAGGAGTTAAAAAAATTGGAACCATAATCTTTAGTGCATTATGAGATTTACGTATCATGAGAAAAAAGCAGATTAATTTTTTCAACCATTTTGGCTTCAGTTATATTTAAAAGATGATGTCTAGGTTGCCATTTAAATACTTCCTGTCAGTCAATAATTCTAAAAATGTAACAAAGGTATTTAGATACACATTCTTTATCGGATATGTTTTGCAGTTATTTTCTTCCAGCCTGTGACTTGTACTGTCATCTTTATTTCTTTTTGATTTAAAAAATTTTCCTCCTCTTCATTTTCTGTTTCTATTAAGGAATTATTTATTATGTTTGTTTTGTGTTCCTTTTAGTTGAGTCCTCATTTATGAAATTATTTTCATTTCTAATTTTTACTGAGTTCTATACTTCATTTCTCAGTTTCTCTAATCATTGTTTAGTCATTCTTTCATATCTTGTATGATTTTCTTAATTTCTTTCAGCTCGTTTTGAAATAGTATTTTACAGCTTTACCTTTCACGTAAGCATGTCTTTCTGATACTTCTATTATCTATAATGATGGTAGTCTGTTCTTCTTTCTTACAATTTTGTGTGGATCTAGAGCTCAGTACCTCTCTTTGATAATTCTTGTATGATCTTAGTTTTTCTGAACTTATAGAAGGGAGTGTGGTTTTATGTAGCTTTTTAAACTTCAGGTTCTTGAGTTCCCTTTTCTGTCGTTTTTGGATGATGTTAAAAATCATTGGGGCACACTTTCTGAGACGGCTGCTGTTTCCTTACCCCGTTTTTTCTAGATTTTCTCTTTTACTCTCGTTTCCCTGGGTGCTCAGTTTGGATTGTCTTCCCACCTTCTCAGTGTGGGGTTTGTACTGGAAGGGAGCTTCGGCGGGTTGGTTTGAGGGTTCCTGGGGCCCAGACTGCTGTAGCCCTTTCAGACCCCTCCCGCTGCTCCCACACCCCGTCCACTGTCAGGATGTAAAACCCCTTATAGTTCAGCTGCTCTTCACACATCCCCACTCCGAACGCTCCAGTTAGAACCGGGACTGCTGTCTGGGGATTCTTAGGTCCACCAGAGGCTCTGCTGCTTCCCTCTGCTTCCTTCTGCATGGTTGCCGATACTACAGCTACTGTCTTGGAGTTGCCCGTGGTTCCCCCACCTATTGGTACTGTAGAGTTTGTGGTGTAGATACTGTCTATCGGGTCTTTGGTTCTGCTCTGTTGCCCTGTCTGTTTTAGCAGGGGAAATTTGGAGACAGTAAAAAACTCATGCCTCTGCTACCACTACCACCATCTTCATCATCAGCTTTCAAATTTACTTCATCCCCTGTTGAGTAAGATGAGGCTGTGAACATACAGTTCCCCCGCCGCTCCTCTCCCACCTTTACCACCTTCAACTTCTGTCTTCTCTACCTTTTCTTTGACATCATCAGAGTAGTTAATATTTGTATTCTGTTCTGTAGCCATAACTGTGTTCTCCTGTGTTTTTTCTATAGGTTGATTCTAAAATTAAAAACCAATAAATAACATTTATATTATTGTGATTTTGTAAATATTTTTGGAGTGGGCCACGGTTACATTCTTTCTCTGTATTATTGTCACACCCCCTGTGCCACTCAAAGGAAGTTGTTTTTAGTGTCAAGGTCAAGTGAGTTTTCTGTTCTATAATCTACTAGTTTCTCAAAATTATACCTCATTTTTTGTTTACTTCACAATTGGACCTTGATTCTTTTTTTTTTTTTTTTTAGTCATTTGTTTTTCTGGGCTCTTCTGGTGGCTTTTCTCTTTTCTTGTTGGAAATGGAAATATATCTTCTTCGCTCATGTTCCTAATGTCTGTTTGCATTTTTTACTCGTATTATCTATTGCTTTGAAAACTTCTCATTCTTAATGACAGTATTCTTGGGCGTCTGTTGACTTCCTGTTCAAAACTAGATAGTTGCTTCCCAGGCCTGCTGCCCAGTGGCTGTCCTGGGCTTGCTTTCATGGAACCCTGGCTTTAGTTCCATCAGTTATTGAATGCCACAGCTGCCAGTTTTACCTTTGTTTACTGGAAAATATCCTTAAGTGATTTCCTAATAAAGGGTGTCTAGGAGCTAAATATTATATGAACCTTATATGAAGTTGATACTTTTGTGGAGTATAGAGTTCTAGCTTTAAAATGTGGAGTTTTTTTCCTCTGAGAAATTTTGAAAGCCTTGTTCCATTGTCTTCTATTCTCCCTTGTTTTGAATGAGAAGTTCTATGCAGTCTGAATCTCATTAGTTGTTTCTTTCTGGAAGCTTTTGGGGGCTCATCTTTATGTTCCAGAATTTTACAGTGTTGTGTTTAGAAATGTAGTGGCTCACCAGCTACTTTACTTTTAGGTGAAAAATGGTATTTCAGCATGTTTTTTATTTGCCTCTTTCAGAATTGGGTGAGGTTGAGCCTCTTTTCATGTGTTTACGGTCCTTTTGTGTTTCTTTTCTGATAATGCCTGTACGTGTCCTTTGACCTGTTTTCTCTTGGGTTGTTGGTCTTTTTCTCCTTGATTGCTAGGAGTCCTTCTGTTACTAAAATTAGCTCTTTGTATTGTGAGCTTCAAGTATTTTTCCCAGTCTGTCATTTATTATATGACTTTGCTTATACGTATGCATGTGTTTTTTTAATCATGCAGAAATCTTTTTTACTTTCATGTAGTCAGATTTACTTACCCCTTTTCTTTTATGGCTTCTGGATTAGCAATGTTCTTCAGAGGCATGTTAATAACAGCTATTATAGAAAATCTGAGTACATGTACACATTCAGTTGGCCCACTAAATAAAATTCCGATTGTCACCACCGTCATGGTTTATTTGAGCACCCTGTGCTCTGATCCAGGTGGCTGAGCTGGGTTTCCCCACAACTGTGGCCGTAGATGCTCCCCACTCAGGCTGCCATTGGGCTTCCCCTCCCATACCTCCTGGGCCCCTCTGCTCTTCTCTTTCCCTCTAGCCCAGTTCAAAGTCCTTTCTCCACTCTCTAAGTGAGGCTCACATCTCGAGGTGCAGGGAGAAGAGACCGTGTTCCTGGAGTAGACGGCTTGTCAGTGTCAAGGCATCCAGCCTTGACACACAGGCAGGTTTGTTTGTTTTTTTTTTTTTAATATGAATAGTACTTTTTTTTTTTCTTTTTAAGAAGATGTTGGGGGTAGGAGTTTATTAATTTAATGTTTTTGCTGTGTTGGGTCTTCGTTTCTGTGCGAGAGCGTTCTCTAGTTGTGGCAAGCGGGGGCCACTCTTCATGGCGGTGTACGGGCCTCTCACTATTGCGGCCTCTCTTGTTGCAGAGCACAGGCTCCAGACGCGCAGGCTCAGTAGTTGTGGCTCACGGGCCTAGTTGCTCTGCAGCATGTGGGATCCTCCCAGACCAGGGCTCGAACCCATGTCCCCTGCATTAGGAGTCAGATTCTCAACCACTGCGCCACCAGGGAAGCCCGTGAATAGTACTTTTTAATGATTTGAAATTTAAATGCAAACAATTACCAGAAGAAAGCATGTAATTTTTTTTTGAATTGAATTTTTAAATTTATTTTTTATACAGCATGTTCTTATTAGTTATCTATTTTATACATATTAGTGTATATGTGTCAATCCCAATCTCCCAATTCATTCCACCACCACTCCTCCTTTCTCCCCTTGGTGGCCATAAGTTTGTTCTCTACATCTGTGTCTCTATTTCTGCCTTGCAAACCAGTTCATCTGTACCATTTTTCTAGATTCCACATATATGCGTTAAAATACGATACTTGTTTTTCTCTTTCTGACTTACTTCATTCTGTATGACAGTCTCTAGGTTCATCCACGTCTCTTCAAATGACCCAATTTCGTTCCTTTTTATGGCTGAGTAATATTCCATTGTATATATGCACCACATCTTCTTTATCCATTCATCTGTTGATGGGCATTTAGGTTGCTTCCATGACCTGGCAATTGTAAATAGTGCTGCAGTGAACATTGGGGCCCAGGCAGGTTTTGACCCCTGGGCTCAGTATGCACACACAGGTCCTGCTTCTCTCTAGTCTTCGTTATAACACCCAAAGCTCGTCTTCTGGCTGCTTAATGAGTGCAGTCCTCCCACCTGCCACTCCCTGGGACATTGACATTCACAAGTGGCTCTAGGGATCCTTCCCCAAAATGCATATGCGTTTGTGACATGCGCACACATGTACACACCCCCCTGGAGTGAGCTGCGGCCCCTTAGCTAATGCCCGAGTGTATCGTGGCAGCATTTTGCTCTATCATGTCAGCACTGTCATCTGAACAGTCTGTCAAGTACTATGCCTATATTTTTTTCTTATGATCCAGTAATTTTCCTCAAAGTGAAACCATAACAAAATGAATAGAGATTACTGTGCTATCCAGTATGAAATTTAAGGCTAAATTGCTATCTATCCTGTATGAACAGCAGGGTAGCCTTTTCTGGCGGTCTCTTTGTGCCATCATCCAGTCGGGTTAGTGAGAGGCAGGAGGAATCATCTAGTCACTGATGTTAGAGGACATTCTAGGAGGGATAAATTAGGAGTCTGGGATTAGCAAATACACACTACTATATATGAAATAGATAAATGACAAGGTCCTACTGTATAGCACAGGGAACTCTACTCGATATTCTGTAATAACCTATAAGGGAAAAGAATCTGAAAAAGTGTGTGTGTGTGTGTGTGTGTGTGTGTGTGTGTGTGTGTGTGTGTGTAAATGAATCACTGTGCTGTACACCTGAAACTAACACAACATTGTAAATCAACTATAGTCCAATAAAAAAAAGAAAAGCAATACTTGCTATAATCCAAAAAATAAAAAAGGGATAAGGTCACATATTGCATTACTTAAAGTACGTATGTTTTTAAAAGGCCAAAAACACTCTTTAATTTGCTAAAATATATTGGTATCCTAAATGGAAACACATTGTAATCCTGGGAGTGTGTAAACGCTTCTTTGATTCACAACGAGACCTTAAAATTTTATTAAAACATTTCAGATGATATGAAAAAAAAGACATTCTGTGTGGAAAGGTCCCTCTTCGCATTCATTTGTCTGCATCCTCCTTTAAAGATTTTCTTTAACAAGTCTTCATTAATTTGTATTGGGATCATGATTTTTTCTTAGAAGATTGATTTCATTTTTATTTCGTCTGCGAACAAAAGATAAACACAGTTTCTTCAAATTTGGAAGAATTTCAAAGCCATGAATGGAATTAATGGAGTTTTCAAAATCCAGTGTAACAGACTCTTCTTAAAATAATGAAGTGTTAACTTTAAATCACAGATTATAATTTTTTTTTCATCTGTTACTTTTACAGAAAAAGACACTATGGATGTATGGTGCAATGGTAAAAAAATGGAGACAGCAGTAAGTTGACCTTTTGATTACCCTCACCATGTGCGTGAGTGACCATTGAAATGTTGCTGTGTTTCCTAACTGGAGATTTTATAAGTAATGAAGGTCCTCTTGGTTAAAAACAAAAAAGAGATGAAGTAATACTGACTCCAAAATCTGAAGAACTTTCCTGGGCAGTGCCTGGGGCAGTGAGAGTTTGGTAACAACTTATGTGTGGCACCAAGCTCATACTCTACCTTTCCTCTCCTGGACCAGCCTCTACCCTGAAAAGAGTTCCCACGTTTACAAAATCCTCCCCGGCGCGGTGCAGCACAGCGCAACCTGCTGCACGTCGGGACCGGGGTCCGGTGCGGAGAATCCTTCGTCCTGGGACACGGGCGCGCGGCTAGAAAGGTGGCCGCCCCCTCGCCCATCACGCCCGTTTCATGAGGACCCTGGTGCTAAACCATTCGTAGACGATCTCCTTTTGGGTCTGGGTTTCGTACCTAGCAGAGCAGCTCCCTTGCTGCAAACTTATTGAAAGTCAGTCCTCGACACAAGGGTTTGTAAAAAAAAAAAAAAAAGAAAGAAAAAAAAGTCCTCCCCAAAGGTTGAGTCCTCCTGTGTTTATCCAGGTTAAAGAGGTGCTTTATACCACTGCTTCTCAAACTTGCATGCATAGAATCAGTTGGGATCTTGTTAAAGTGCATATTCTAACATGTCCTCAGGTGTTGCCAGAGCTGCTGGTCCACAGGTCACACTCTGAATAGGAAGGCTTTACACCATACACTCAAAAAGCAGATAGTACTTTTCTAAAAGCAAAGATTGTGAAGAAGAAATGATGCACACAATGTCAGGTGACACAAAGGCAGGTAGGAAAGGGCACTGTCACGAACTCCAGAAGACAAGTGGAATTTGTAGAGTAGCAGTGCTAAGAGGCTACCCCACCCATTGAAGCCAAGCACAATGAAATCCCCATCCAAACCCCAGTGTGTTGGGCTTTTGCTGCTTGCACTGTTAGGGCTGTGGTGGGATGAATATAGGAGTGCATCTCAAGTGGGAAGGAAGTAATGGTATGTACAGCAGGGGAGGAAGTGAAGCAGGGGAGGCGGTCCTGGACAGCTGGGAGTGTGGAAGCAGGAGCTGAAATCTTTGGGTGGAAATTCCCATGTGTTCTGGGGTCAGCTGGCAAGCAGGTGGTATACCAGCCCTGGTGTCCCCTTTCATGGCTTCAGACGTGAACACCAGGCCTAGAGATCGTGAGAAGGTCTCTTCCCCGGCACAGTTTAGCTAGTTGCAAGTTGTGGTTGCTGCTGTTATCTCCCTTCTCTATTGTAGGTCTGGGAAGGTGAGGAGATGTGCTTGGAGGGAAGGTCTGGGATGAATGTATTCAGCAGACTAGCTGGGTTTTATAGCCAATCTGCTTCTAAGGAAGTGCCCAAGCCAGAAATCAAAGGTTACAAAGATTAATGCTTTTCTCTTTATTAATCCTAGTTTTAATTCTTGAAGGGAAATGTAACCAGGGCTCACTCAAAATTGATCCTCCAGAGTTTGATCCACCCTCTGGGTTAAACCTACCCATCGAGACTTTTATGCAGAGAGGCTTGGAGAGCTCTTCAGTATTTTATGTCTCCTTTTGGACCAGCTTAAGTTTCCATGCCTACTGTGTGCCCGATGCCACATCTACTAGTCCTTCCTATTCTCCCTTTCCTACCCTGGAATTCCCTAGATGGAGTCTGCAGTTTGGGATCACATTCCTTCCACCCTCCAGGAATTCTCCAGTGCAAATGTAAAGAGAGATTTAAGAATGTGGTTTTAAATAAGTAGGGAGTTGAAAATAATGTCCATCCACAATGTCTTTGTTCCTCAGTAATTGACAAGAAACCACAAGTGTTTGGACAATAGCTCTGTCTCACCCAGTTGCCTCCTCATTGTAACTACGACCTAGTTTGCCGGGCAGTCTTCCCCAGCACTATGCACACCTGCTCTTGCTGCCTGTGAGTTACGGCTTACTTTCTCCATTTCCTTTTCATCTCAAAGCACCGTGACCAAGACCATGTATCTGTCAAATTACCAAGAAGCTACTGACAAGGATTGTATTACTCAACCCTTCCTCTGCCCTCTAAATTGATTTTTACAGAAGTATGACCTGAGGGATTTTTTCAAAGCTCAATGTGAAAAGGGGTAAAAAGAACACACTAGACTCCAGGGCCAGCACCCCCAGTCCTTGTGGTCAGTACACCTCCGTGTTGGCCAGATTCTTCCCAGAGCTAAGAAAAAGCTTCCCTCTCTGATGCCTCCTGTGCTTTCTTTGGTTAGATAATGTTAGCTACGGGGCCTTGCTCTGTCTGCTTTGGCTGCCAGGAAGCTCATAGCCAAGTTGTGAGTCTGATGGTGCTTGCTTGCATAATCCACTTTTATCCTCTAAGCCTCCTGTTCTTCATTCCTTCTCTGTACCACTTGGCCCCTATCTTTTTACTCTAGATCAGTGCTGTTCAATAGAAATATGAGCCACAGATATGAGCTTCATATATAACTTTTCTAGTAGCCAGATTTCAGAAGTTTTACAGTGAAGTTCATCTTAATAAAAATTTGATTTAAATCAGTATATCAAAAATATTATCATTTAACATGTAATAAATATAAAAAGTTTCTACTGAGTCATTTTACATTCTTTGTTTCATACTAAGTCTTCCAAATCCAGTGTATATTTTACCCTTAACATAGTATCTCATTTTAGACCCACCTCATTACATGCTCAGTTGCCACATGTGGCCAGTGGCTACTGTACTGGACAGAGCAAGTCTAGACTCAGTAGTGTTTGGTTTTATGTTATTTTTAATGTATTTATTGTAAGCCACCTTATACACTGGGGAATCAGATGTTCAGAGTGGTTAAGAACACTCCATCCCTTACTGACTGGGGCCTTCAGCAAGTAATTTAACTACTCTGTGCCTCAGTTTCCTCACATATCAAATGTGGATAGTAATCGTACTCCAATCAGGTTATTGTGAGGATGCAATAAAATAATGCATGTAAACCATTCTTTGTATAGAATAAATCACTAATAAATGTTTGCTATCAGGTTTATTATTTTTACTTTTGAAAATGGTCTACATTGTCTACATAGTGTATGTTATAGACACATAGCCATTAGGTACACTTTTTTTTTTTTCTCTGAAACTTAAGATTCTTAAAGATTGTAGGGGGTACAAATAAGAAACCTTCATAACAGAGACGTAACAGCATCTAAATACAAGCTTCTAACTTTAATCTTGCCAAGTTTAACATTGAACTAATATGTACTTCATTATACCTCCCTTTTTGGGTGATGTTAATGCTCTAGACAAAGACAAATGTTTCTGGAACACTAATTCCTCCTTCTTTTGTTTGCCCAGGGTGAGTTTGTAGATGACGGAACTGAAACTCACTTCAGTATTGGGAACCATGACTGTTACATAAAGGCTGTCAGTAGTGGGAAGCGGAAAGAAGGGATTATTCATACTCTCATTGTGGATAATAGAGAAATCCCAGAGATTCCTGAATGACTTCACGTTAATGAATTTTAATCAAGAAGTAAAGATCAGGACTTTTAAATTACTGTGGTGATTAAATATGTTCAGTATATACTTTTCAGTACATCTAGTCGCCATGTTTTTATTTTTTAGTTACTTGAAACTGTAATAATGTTCCAAAGGTCAGGAAAAAAAATTATGTATCATAAATATTGCAATTTATTTTGTAAATAATGTAAAATGTTTTAACATCAAATGGAAAATAAGATATGGACCAAAAATCACTAGTGTTTTACAAGAGCAACTTTTACTATAATAAATGCTATAAAATAAAATTGGTGCTGCTTGATTTGTGTTTCTTAAAATGGATGTCTTTGTATATTTTTAACCTGTGCAGATAGATTGTCTAGTTTAAAGCAATTGGTATACAATGATATTATTAGTTTAACTTAAATGAGAAACATTTTCTATCTGGAAACAATGTTGAGATGTCAAAGAGTGTCCCGTAAGAATTTAATTAAAAATAGGCTTCTGAAAAAAAAAAGTTTTCTGAAAATCCAATTGTTTAATCAGCATGATCAGGACAAAAAAAAAAGAAGCAGCAAACTTCTTTACACCAGATAGCATCAGTTGCATTGTCAGGCAGTGTTTAGAAAGTCAGAGTTGCACACCTGTGTGGAGGTAGCTAGCACCAGTGTTAGCGCTTTGTGACTGAAGCAGACCCACCCAGGCAGATTCACAGAGATGCCGCCTCAGTACGGGAAGTGGTCCAGATTGTGTCAGTACTCGTTTCTGAAGGTCTTTCAGGGCAGGACCTGGTTTAATAGTAGAGCCTTTTATCGGGGTATTTCATGTCCATTATCACATGGGGATCCTCCATAAGAGGGAGAATTCTCCATTTTCTAGACTTGCTCTGTCCACTAGGGTAGCCATTAGTCATGTAGCTATTTAAGTTAAATTAACTAAAATGAAACAATTAAAAATTCCTCTATCACACTAGCCACATTTCAGGTCCTCAGCAGTCACATGAGGCTAGCAGTCACCACATTGGACAGTGCAGATACAGAACATTTCCATCATCATACCAAGTCTGATTGGACAGCACTGGCCTGGAGACATTGTCTCAAGCTTAGTGAGCTGTTCTGTACTGGAACAGGCAGGATTTAGACCCAGGTTTTTCTGACGCTAAAACCTATGTGCTGTACTACCTTCTCCCTGCCGCTCACGTATTTCTAAGAGATTTGGAGCAGAACAGAGGCACAACCACGCTCTAACATCAGGCACGAGGAACTGAGGGGCAGGACAGCAGCGAGGGAACGTGGCTCAGACAGGCGGGGCCCCCGCAGGCAACATGCATGGTGGCAGAGCATATTAAAATTAGCCTGTGAGTTACCTACTCTGACATTTGTTTTATTTGAAGTCTTACGACTGGAAGGTTAGCATACCACAGGTATAGAAATCATCCCCCTGCTCTCCCCATGCCACCCCCCCAGCCTTCCTTCACTGCCACTGGAAGATTAGGACATGAATGAACTAAGAGGGACTCTTCTGAGGCTTAAACTCATTTTGGGGTTTGCTTTCAAGTGTTTGGGTGTGGTCGTTTTCACTTCCCTTGAATAAAGGACGTTATTTATTTATTTATTTATTTAATTTATTTAATGGCTGTGTTGGGTCTTCGTTGCTGTGAGCGGGCTTTCTCTAGTTGCAGCAAACAGGGGCTACTCTTCGTTGCGGTGCGCGGGCTTCTCATTGCAGTGGCTTCTCATTGTGGAGCACGGGCTCTAGGCATGTGGTCTTCAGCAGTTGAGGCATACGGGCTCAGTTGTGGCTCGCGGGCTCTAGAGCACAGGCTCAGTAGTTGTGGCGCATGGGCTTAGTTGCTCCACGGCATGTGGGATCTTCCCGGACCAGGGCTCGAACCCATATCTCCTGCGTTGGCAGGCGGATTCTTAACCGCTGCACCACCAGGGAAGCCCCTAAAGGGCGACTTTTAATGGCTATATTTTATCTGGTACAAAAAATGTTTTGTGCCATGTCCAAAAGCAAAGCAATTATTTTAGGCAAAGCAATTATTTTTGTTTTGAACTCTAGCTATTAGCAGTCAGAACTGTACTTTGCAGTGTGTTATTATGTTCCTCAGCAAACACATGGGGATACAGTTTGATTCAGTCTTTTGGAGACCAAACCTTGAGAATGTAGTTTGCCTTTGACTTGGTGAACCCATGTTTTTTGTTTTGTTAATTTAAAGCAGCTTGGGGGAATTCCCTGGCAGTCCAGTGGTTAAGACTCAGCGCTTTCACTGCCGAGGGCCCGGGTTCAATCCCTGGTCGGGGAATTAAGATCCCACAAGCCTTGCGGTGCAGCCAAACAAACAAACAAACAAACAAAAAACCCAGCAGGGTCACGAGGAAGGTGTACAGCCTGGGTTTGAAGTTCGGCACCAAAGGTTAAGTTCTTCAGCCTCTGTTTCTCCAACCTAAAAAATAAGGCTATTTGTTTCGTTGTTTTGCTTAATGAGATATTTTAAATGTAGAAAAAATAGAAAATAATAAAACAAACACTTGTATTATTTAACTGGGTTTACCTATCATCCAGTTTAATAAGTAAAGCATTAAAATACAACTGAAGAGCCATATACCCTTGCTATTCCCATACCCCTCCCTTGCCAAAGTAATCACTATCGTGAACTTGACGTTTACCATTCCCATGCAAGTCTATATTAACTGTGTAGGTATATATCCCTAAAAAAATACAGTATTACTTAAAATTTTAAATGTTATATTCTATGAATCCTTCCTGCAACTTGCTTTTTTTCCATTCAGTATTCCATCAAAGCTCTAATGAACATCTTTGTGTCTCTGTGTGTCCCTTGAGAATATGCTCCAGTTTCTCTAGGGCTTTGCTGTTTAAAGTGTGTCCCTGGACCAGCAGCAATGACATCACCTAGGAGTTTGTTAGAAATTAAGAATCTCAGATCTTTCCAGCCTACCGAATCAGAATCTGGGTTTTAATAAGATCCCATGGTGATTTGTATGTACATCAAGGATTGAGAAGCACTGCTTTAGGTATGCTAAGAAGTAGAATTGCTGAATGAAAGAGTAGTGTAAATCATATTAAAGATTTGCCAAATTGCTCTCAAAGGTGGTTGTACCATTATAAACTTTGACCAGCAGCTTTTTTTTTTTTTTTTGCGGTACGCGGGCCTCTCACTGCTGTGGCCTCTCCTGTTGCCGGATGTGCAGGCTCAGCGGCCATGGCTCACGAGCCCAGCCGCTCCGCGGCATGTGGGATCTTCCCAGACCGGGGCACGAACCCACGTCCCCTGCATCCGCAGGCAGACTCTCAACCACTGCACCACCAGGGAAGCCCTGACCAGCAGAATTCTTTACCTCGAATCTTCAAAGCTTGATACTGTCAGGATTTCAGAGTTTTGCCAATCCAATCGTTTTTTTAAAAATGGTATGTCATGGGAATTCCCTGGTGGTCCGGTGGTTAGGACTCCACGCTTTCACTGCCAAGGGTGCGGGTTCAATCCCCGGTCAGGGAACTAAGATCCTGAAAGCTGTGGGATGCGGCCTAAATAAATAAATAAATAAAATGGTGTATCTTTTGAATTTTCTCTGATTACTAGTTGAGTGTCTTACATGTTTATTGGCCATTCAGGCTTCCTTTTCCAAGAATTACCTTTTCATTTCTTTTACTTATTTTTCTGTTGTCTTCATTCTCTAATAGATATGTAGTCCTTTGACCGTAGTCTTTCCCTCGAAGCAGTACAAAATGTGCAGTAGATCAGCAAGTATCCCAGTCATCCCTTCCATTTCACACAATATATCCTCTAACAAGCTCTGAGGGCAGGGACAGCATTCTGCTGTATCCCCCAGGACCTAACACGCCCCTCACAGATGGCAGGCAGTGAGATTTGTATTACTGCAGCTCAGAGGAGAGGTCTGGGATGGAGATACACCTGTGAGCATCATTAACATATACAGGAGATTTCATGCAATGGAAATGAATAACATCAACTAGGAAGGTTGTAGAGAGAGAAAAAAAGAAGGGACGGTTAAACCCTGAAGGGCTACAGCATTTAGGCAAGGGAGATCTTCATTAGGTAAGAAAATCCTGAAGCTATCAAACAACAACCTATTTGATTATCTAGAAGTTTAAAAGTTGTATGGTAAAAGATACCATAAGCAAAGTCAATAAACAAACAATAGATATGGGGAAGACACTTATAATGTAGATGACAAGGTCCAACATATATGTAAAGAGCTTTTAAAAATTGATAAGAAAAGTCAGGCTAATTGTAAAATGGATAAAGGATGTTAATAGCCTATTTACAGAAAAGGAAATCCAAATAGCCAACAAATATATCTTTTAAATGCTCAAATTAATTTATAGCTGGGGTATTATTTTAACAATGAAAACAGCAAAAAATATTTAAAAGAGCAATGACATATTACTGACTGAGATATGGAAGAAAGGGTACCCCTTCACACTTTGGTGATGAAAATAAGTAAGTTCTTAGGAAAGCAATTTATTAAATTGAAAGTTCCATTTATATAAAACTCAAAAACAGGCAGAAACTAATATATAGTCTTAGAAGTCCACATAATGCTCACTTTAGGGTGTAGTTAGTAACTAGGAGCACGAGAGAAATTTCTGGAATAAAGGTAATTTTTGTTGTGAATGCCGTTTACAAAGATGTATTCACTTTGTGAAAATTAATGAAGATATATACCAATATGATTTTTACCTTTCTGTCTGTATGTTATGTTCTGTATGAATGCTTACATTTCAGTAAAGATTTTAAAGCGTACTTATAAAGTTTTTAAAAACACAACTCACACACACACACACACCTCTCACACACCCTTCTCTTTGAGAATCTATCCCATAAAAACAAAGCCTTCAGTATCAGCATAAGGATATTTTTACAAGGATGTTTACTGCAGCATTGTGCATAGTGGGGGGAAAAAACTGGAAATTGTGAATGCTTATCTACAGAGAAATAATTGAATAAATTATTATACACCATTAACTACAATTCAGCCATTTAGAAGAATGAACTGGAGAGCTTTCCTTAAAGTATTTTTGAATAAAAACACAGTAGGGCTTCCCTGGTGGAGCAGTGGTTGAGAGTCCGCCTGACGATGCAGGGGACGCGGGTTCGTGCCCCGGTCTGGGAGGATCCCGCATGCTGCGGAGCGGCTGGGCCCGTGATCCATGGCCACTGGGCCTGCGCGTCCGGAGCCTGTGCTCCGCAACGGGAGAGGCCACAGCGGTGAGAGGCCCGCGTACCGCAAAAAAAAAAAAAAAAAAAATACAGTAAACCAAAATAAAAGCAAGTTG